TGACATACAATGCCTCTTCTATGTATGTGAAGAAATGGAAAGTTTAGGAAAGTTAGAGAAGTAAGTTAGATGGTTGCTGGATGGTAATAAAAAAGAGGGGTTGTAGTGACAGGAAGTAAGTCTAGGGTTGGTAAAGTAATGATTTAGGAGTAGAAATGTTGGATGAGATTAGATGAAAGGTGAAGAATTAGGACAGTGTTTCTCAACTCCGGCAACTTGAAGCGGTCTGGACTTCAGTTCCCAGAATTCCTCAGCCAGCTATGCTGGCTGGGGAATTCTGGGAACTGAAGTCCAGACCTCTTCAAGTTGCCGGAGTTGAGAAACACTGAATTAGGGGAAGATTGTTGGAAGGACTGATTAGTAAGAGGTTCACTGCTAAAAAGAACTATTTAGCTTACAAGATATTCCAAGAGCCGAGTCAAGACTGCCTACTAACTACTACATGTAGTGAAAGTAGATTAGTCCAGTTTTGGATCAGTCTGTTCTAGGTATTATTTGTATTTATTTATTATGTAACTGTTCATGACTCAGACATTCAATTGTCATTCTCTGTTGAATATTTAAAGGCTTTACTGCTTATCCATAAAGGTCCACAAATAAAACTGAGTAGTCTATTCTTATCTGATCTTTTTTTCCCTCTTTTCTTGAGAAATAGTTGTCAGAAATCTCAAATCTCTTCTCTTTCTTAATATATGGAACATCTAATAAAACTTCATTTATTGTGTCTCCAAATTTTAAAGAAGTATTATGCTCCTTTGTTTTAATACTACATTTTTTTCTTTAGAAATTGTGCTGTCCGTGTTTTTAAAATTCAATATATTTATTGAATTTCCAATAGTGCATCTTGTTCTAGATTAATGTTTTTCAAACTTGGCAACTTTTAAGATGTGTGGACTCCCACAATTCCTCAGCCAGCTTGAAGCTTATATATCCTAAAATTGCCAGGCTTGTAAAACTCTAATCTAAAACCAAAATGCTCTTTGAGTAAATTTTCCATTTTTCTAAGTCTTCTCTACCGAAATCCAAACCATGAATATTTTAATGCAGTTCTGTTTTTGCTATTAGTAAACTAGTTTCTATGTTTAACTTTGACTTTCAAATTCTCTGATATGAGGTCAATTCTTGTTTTGCTTGCATGGGTTTATTATGCCCTTTTATTAGAGGTTGTTAATTTATCACATTTATCATGTGAATAATATATGAATATTAGGAGCTCCTTAGATAGACGTAATCTATATTCTTTCAAGCTTTTTTTAAATGTGGTCCACAACACAACTTTTTGGATTTTTCTGAAGGCTAAAGCCTCACTTAATTTTGAAAAATATTTTTAAATATTGTATTTATTTAAAGATTTAATAACCAACCTTTTGATTTTTACAGATAATTAAGTAGATTGTTATGATAAACAAAATCTGGCATGCATAGGAAACCTCATAATCATTCAACCTATGGTTGATGTTAAAGATTAGAATGTGCTTCTTTCAGTGCTGCAGTTCTAAAATAACTTTGCCATATTAAATATACTGCAGTTTGAAAACAGTATAATCCTGTACATATGCATTAGAGGCTAACCTGTCCAACTCAGCTATAAAACAAGAAAGAAAACTCCAAATACTAAAATGGCCAGGAAAAACAATTAGAGTCAAGACAAAGCTAAAATTGATTTAAATTCAATTAAAATATAGTGAAATCAGCCCAGTACTAGTAAAATGATGATTTCCATGTATTTGATTATTTTCTCTTTCTGTCAAAATTACAATTTGTTGTATGGACACTGTGAGCTTACATAAGCAGCCTGGAGCCTCAATTGGGTCCCCTGATTTTAAGTGCTTTGAAGGCCGGGGTATCTTTCTGTTCTTGAGGTAAAATAACGGAAGGGGAATTCCTGAGGTGGCAGCATCAGGTTGCTAATAGCAATAGAGCTTTCAGCAGTGGTGCAACAAATTACACTGCTATCTAATGTGTAAATCTGAATGGCATGTTTGTGATATCAGATAGAAATATGTAGGTTGTATCATTTGAATGATGACACAGTTGACATCATTTGCCTTGCATGTGGCCATTCTTCTCATGCCTGTTGGATGAAGTAACATAGCATATTCCTGTCCAAGAATAGTTGCTAGGCATGACTGCAGCTAGTGCTTAATAAAGCTCTATATTATATATCACTACTGAGAGGCACATGACATGGATTTTGTAATTTGGAACCTTGGAACAGATTTGGCTATCACTATATAAGAAAAATACACCACTGTCCATTGGAACATCTCCTTTCCCTCAATCTTCTCTATCAAAACCCTCAACATTTTATATGTTCATCTATATATTTGTGTGGTTAAAATACCAATTAACATTGTTTGGCAGTCTAATAGTTGAAGTCATTAAACTGATATGATATTTACATAGAGAAGTGAATCTTAGCATCACCACAATACAAGCAGAGAATAGAAAATTTTATGTACACTAAAAAAATAAAGGAATTTGGTAGAGGGGTGTCTTCGTTTTTCATCAGAAATAAAATGTTTTTTAAAGTTTTCAACTTTTGTTCTACGTATGCTGAAATGGAAAAAGAATCTCCTGGCTTTTGATTGCAAAAACTAAACTAAATTTAAAGAATACCGCAAAGTAATGGGATGAAAATGATGCTCATATATCTAGCTCTGAATATTTTATCTCATTAATTGATATGTTTTTTTATTGCAGTTATATTGATGGTGGAGGTAAATATTGTTTTAAACTATCCTTTTTAACCTCTATGATTTTATTTGAAATGAGGCATTACATTTTGTGTGTAGTGAACCCTGTTGAAATGTTGAAATATTTTTTACATCCCATAGGGTTTATATAGGATCTAGAGACATTACTGTAAATAAAGACAGTGATAGTGGCTTTTGTTTCCCAATTTGCCAGATTCTCATTCATTTTTCTAAAAAAAATTAATATACAATAATATGAAATGAGGTGGAAGAGGAAGCTTGGCAAGGTATCAAGAAAAAAGTTCATTAGCCTAGCCAAAATATTTCCATAATAAGAAACCATGCTATCTTTGATAATTCAAATATGCGCACCTTGATACTGTATTTTGATTACATTAATTTTTTTCTGAGAAATAATTAAAAACACAGAGTTTAATATACATTCTACACACACTATAGAAAGTTAATATTTCTTTGTAAAATTATTTCACATGAATGCCAACATTATTAGCTGCATTAGAATATTAGTACTTCTTTGCATGGATTTTCTTATTTGTGCATTTTTATTCTAGGACCTTAAAGAACAAAGTGCATAAAGTTATATAAGAATATTATGATGACAAATGTAAATCTCAATATCAGACTCGGATTTTTATTTTTGCTTAAAATATGCTAAAGACAATAATAAGAATAAAAATAAAGAAATAATTTTTATCTTTAACTTCCATAAAAGAAAAAATCTTGCAGCTTTTCATGAGAAACTGATTTTCAGAGGTACTGAATTCATGAGAATGAAACTTTCTCGTCTTTTGCTGGAAATAATACCATTAGCAAATAAATTTGCAGAATATTTTTATATATTTTGAAATAGTATAATCGAGCCATATTCTAATGAAGTACAATTAAAACTGGACCAATATTATACTCAGAATATCTGCTACCGAAATTTAATCAATCAATGAGCTGATTATACCACAGGATGTATTGATACAAATATAATCCATGCTAACAGTAATTTGGCTTGAATTTTTTTTAAATTTAGCTTTAAAGATCCTAGTCAACACTACCAATTTATCATGATAGGTTCAAGGAATTAGTATTGTATGATTCTAAAGATAATGGCTATTGAAAATTAAATGGGTTAAAAGGCTATAACAAAAAACATTACTTTCCTATTTTGTGCTAATAAGATCTTTTCTTCTGTTCCGTCATGCCCATTTTTTGGAAACTGCCTGTGCAAGTCAATACAACTTTCTTGGCAATGTTTTTTTAGATGTGGTTTGCCATTTCCTCATTCCTAGGGCTGAGAGAAAGTGACCAGCCCACTGACACCCAGCTGGCTTTGTGCCTAAGGCAGGATTGGAAGTCATGTTCATATAGTTTCCTCTTAATAAAGGAATCCTTAAAAATGTGATCCAACTTCAGAAATAAAATTCTACATTCTATCTGCCAATAAACATTAATGAATGTTTATTCCATTTTGATAAGAAATAAGTTATTTGGCAATTTCCAATAAAAGACAAAGACAGGTAAGCTACCTGTGAAAAATCTGTTTCTCCTAAAGAGTTGCAAGATGTTTTTTTTTCCTTCATGACAGTTAAAGAATGAAATGTCCAGAAGATATTTATAGGAATTTCAATGTAGAAAATATGTGGGAATTCTGATCCATCAGTGTGTTCACACATGATCCATCCAATTCCCTTCTTCCTTAAGTTGTCTATGTAGAGAACTGTAGGGCAGAGGTCCCTAATCTTTTGGGCATCAGGGACCAGTTACGTGGAGAGAGGTTTTTCTGCGGACTGGAGGGGACGGGTTTTGTATGCTGCCTGCAATCCACTTGTTTTGCTTGTTTGTGTGGACCGGTTGCTGGCATGCCGTGGCCCGGTACCGGTCTATGGACCCAGGATTGGGGATCCTTGCTGTAGGGCATGATGCAAGGAGTCAAAGCAAAATTTATGGGGGGGGGGATTAACAGCTCTCCACATCTTGAACTGCCCCTCCTTTTAAAGTTGCTTTTCCTATTTAACTTGTGTGACATATGTTGAAAATTCTCATGTTGAGATTTATTGAAGATTTACAGGTAAAGATACATGTTTGCATATATTTTATTATATTTGTCGGACTCTGAAATGTGAAAACTGTTTTCCCAGTTATTTTCTGTACACTGTAGAAATATTGAGGAAAACCAGCAAGGTTTCTTGAGAAAAACACCATGTAGTTCAGAACATCAGAAGGAGTTTGTTTTGCCTTTATTAAAAATGCAATTTCTGACACTAATATGTACACCTTTTCTATCCTCACTAGTTAATACTCTCATTTCTTCAACTGCTCTGGCCCGTTCATGAATGTAACAAATGTATCAGGAAATGGCATTGCTGCCTGGGAATGCAGACCCCGAATTTACTGCATACTCTTATAACAACTTGGAGACACTTTGTGATGTGCAGACAAAGAAAGGCGTCTTCTACAAAAAAGCAAAACTTCTCAGTCCTGGGGAAGACTTGTATTGCTTTGCCTGTAGGGAGGACCAAACCAGGAATGTGATAATCAATGTAGGTGGCATAAAATACAAAATTCCATGGACCACATTAGAGAATTGTCCCTTGACCAGGCTTGGAAAGTTAAAATCATGCAACAACTATGACGAAATAATGGATATATGTGATGATTATGATGTCAACTGCAATGAATTCTTTTTTGACCGCAATCCTTGTGCCTTCAGGACCATCATGACTTTTTTGACCGCTGGGAAGCTAAGGCTCCTCAGGGAAATGTGCGCGCTCTCTTTCCAAGATGAACTGGTTTACTGGGGGATAGAAGAGGAACATCTGGAATGGTGCTGTAGAAGAAGAATACGACAGAAAGAAGAAGAAATGGCAGAGGCTACCTTATTTGAAGACGAAGTAGAAGCTAACGAAGCACCCCAATGTGCCTTCAAGGACAGCGGCCGTTTGCCTTTGTGCATGAGAAAGCTCAGGGACATGGTGGAAAATCCTCATTCAGGGATCCCAGGAAAAATCTTTGCTTATATATCGGTTTCTTTTGTTGTCATCACTGCAGTTACCCTCTGCATTAGCACCATGCCAGATCTCAGAGAAGAAGAAGATCGGGTAAGTGTACGCTATAAAAATAATGTTTGCACAATTGTAAACATTTCCAGAGGCTTCTGTGTAATATTTGCTTTTTTAGCTTGTCTCTGTTTGTGCATATGTGCATATGGAAGTAACATAAACTTTATCCCAAGCCGATGTTCTGATTGAGATTAGCGTAGTTATAATTGCTTTTTTGCTTTTAAGTTAATATTGTATTATATATTAACTTTCTGAATTAGTTAGAACAGATACCTCAATAACTGTATTTGGGATATTGTCCCGATTCTTTTTGTCTTCTCGTATCAGAAACTTTAGCTGAATCAAGGCTGGATTTTATTTTTGAAAGAAGACGTTACAATGGACAGAAAGGGGATTTCTTTCCCCTCTGCTGTGAAGGGAGATAAATTATCTGGGATGATGAGGGCCCCAAACCACAGCAAATTCAAATTTGTGAAACTAATAGAGTTGAAAACTGAACAAGATTGGTTTTGACTGTCTACAGTTTCCCTCCCCCACTACACTTGGCTGGGCAGGGCCGCGTATCACCTGCCACGTGCTAATGTACCATAGGTGGTACGTGTACCACCGGTTGAAAAGCCCTGAGCTAAAGGGCTTTCCTGAATTGCACAAAAAAATTCAGGACTACCTGTGTTCCATTGCACCTTTGCTGTATATAAGAAACACATTGTGATAGTGGCGGATATCTATAGCTCAGGGTGGAGGTTCGTTCTCCGAGCTTGTGGGTTGGTTTCCAAATGTTTCATTACCAGACTAGGAAACATCTTCAGTGAAATTTATGGAATGTCCTAAATTCCACTGAAGATATTACCTAGCCTGGTAACGAAACGTTTGGAAACCAACCCACAAGCATGGAGAACAAAATTCCACCCTCAAGAAACACTTTATTCTTAGACAAAAAGGAATTACCTGAGGTTGATCCATTTGTTGTGGGCAAGGCTGAAGAGTAGTAACTTGACAACACTATCTTGATCAGTTTGAAGAATGTTGGGGAGAGGGTTTTCTCAGAGCGGTTAATTTACACAACCTGCACCTGATGATTAACGAATATTTTCCTGCTACTTGTCAGACTTAGCTTGCTCAACTCTATAGGCTTTCTTATTATTTTTCATTGGTATTCTCTTCTGTTCAGAACAGCAAAATGTGATATTAAATTTCTCTTCCTATGCCAACAACAGTTTTATAGCATGGGCATGTCCTGAATAAGTTAAATTCCATTTAATGCAGGTTGTGTAGGAGAAGATTTTGATGCACCTATGATGTCTTTCTCCTTCTGCTTCTTGCAATGATTAGTTTGTTTTTTATTTTTGTAGTGTGTGAGACGGTGGAGATGGGACTAAAAGTAAAATAAACAAGCCAATATCTTTAAAACAGAGCACAGGAATTATGTTTTCAGTCCAAAATATGGCTTGAGGATAGCTAAGAAGAAATGCACTTATAATCAAAGCATCAGGGAATGTGGTATAATAATTTTTAGACAACCAGTGCTGTCAAGAAAACTACAAAAATATAGTTTCAGGATAAAACTGTTAGTCTTACTTGGCTGATAATAAGCCATTGTCAAAATGCAATCTCCCTAAAATAACACATTAATATAATTAGTGGTAGCAACCAAATGGTGGAGATAGTTAAAATTCAACAAAGAAATGATAGGACACTTATTAATATGCCAATGGAAAAGTAAAGCAAAACATCATAAAGAGCCTTGAATTGTAGCGCCTATTTCTAGTCTAGCGTAAGTATGAAAGAGGAGCAAATCTATTTTGGCTTTGCAGATCAGTGGGAGCAATCTAATATTAAGATGATACTAGGTGTCAAATAAAAAGAAGCATTAGAATGCTTCCAAGCAGCCTGTAATCACCTGCTAGATTATTATAATAATTACAGCTAGCTTTTGGACTCTTCCAAAGCCTATTCAATTAAATATAGTTACTGGTTTATGCAGAGGACCTGCATAAGTGTAGGAAAGAAAACTAAAAAATCATTTTTAAATGTTTCTGTTGCATAATTTTGGCATCCTCACTCAGAATTGCCAGAATAACAAGTTAACAGCCTTGAAAACTTGTCAAATTTGTAGTTCTTGAAATATTATGACAATTTTGTTTTTGTTTATTTTAATTAACTTTATCTTTGCATTAAATAGTGCTTTTAAAGAAAAGGGAGTTGGAAAGTTCTGCTGCTGTTTATTTGGTTTTAGGTAGACTTTTGTTATCAATTACCAAATGTTTATTGTTTATTTGCCACTTTTGTATGATTTCATGCGTGGAAAGAAGTTTGATTGCTGTTCCCTCTTTTGGACAAGGTCATTTTCTGTCCTTACTGATTGTTCAGACTGTCTAGACCAATTTATTGTTATTAGCCACTTTGTCATGTTTTACTGCTGTCATCTCTTCACAATATTCTGAGACAGTTCTTTCTTTATACTCCCCCATTAATCTTATAATAGTTTATCAATTCATTAGTCTCTACTAAGGAAATCATGCAGTTCTTTTTGTCTCTGATTGGATTCCTTTGCTTGTACTAAACTGATCCACATTTTTCCATTTTTTGTATTTATTGGTTTAGATTGTCTGCTGGTATTGCAACTCACTACTTTTTCATTTGTGCCCATTGTTTTCATCTGCTTTCAGCTTTTCAGTCTGGTCTTGATTTACTCTATGTTTTCCCCACTTCTTCCATTCATTCACCAAAATGGCCTCCCATAGTATTAACATAGTATATCAGTGGTGGTGAACCTATGGCACACGTGCCAAAGGCGGCACTCAGAGCCCTCTCTGTGGGCACACTCACCATGCCCTGGAGATGGCAACCATCCCTCTTCAACCAGCTGCCCACTAACTCGCTGAGGTCCCACATGGCTGGATGCATCCCAGCACCCATACGCTCACTGGCCTCTGTGTGCAGGGGCTGATGGTGTCAGGCAGCAGCCGCCTCGGCCCTTGCCTCACCTTGCCCTGTGATAATGGCACCCCCGCCCTGCCTCGCCTTGCCTTGCCTCACCCCACAGGACAAGCCTCCTGCCCACCGCCCCACCTGCCAGAGACCCCCTGGATCTCCCCCAACCCTGCCTGGCCCCCACAGGCATCCCTTCCCGTGAGCAACATTGAGGTGATCACACCCACCTTGGCCACACCCACCCAATCTGCCATGACCACCACAGCCATGCCCATCCAGTGGGTCACACCCACCTGGCACCCGGCGATAAATAAGTGGTTTTTGGGTTGCAGTTTTGGCACTTGGTCTCTAAAAGGTTCGCCATCGCTGTAGTATATTATGCATGACTTAATTTCACAAGTGATGTATAGTACTTCATTTCCTAGTACTAAATATGCTAATGAAGTGACTTCTAGTGATTACGAACAATGAATTAACATAGTTTGCATTTCTCAGATGGTTATATTTTAACACCTTCCATCACAAGAAAACTCATCCTCAGAGTATTACATTTTCAAATATTTGCTGCTAGGCTGACTACTATATTGGTACAGTCTGGAACAATTTAAGCTCGTAGTTGCATCTAGTAATTTGATAAAAAAAACATTTAGAAAGTTGGCTTGCCCCATCAAATTGTAGAGAGTTGTTCTATTGTCATCATAATCAACTTTATCCAGTGATGACAGTAAAAAACAAGAAATTGGATGAGACTGCACATTTTAAGATTGAAAGCAAAGGACAGAGCTGTCTTCTCCCATCTCATCCAGATTCTTCTTCTCCCATTATCAAACCTTCTTTGCTAAATGTGTTAGTTCCTCTCATCTTTGAATGATGGTGTGTAAATATATTTTTATTTGCTATTTTGCATATATATGTTTTTCTAGGCTTGTTCCTTCAGAAGGAGCACGTAAAGAATTATCTAAAGGCAACTTTTTAGTTTTTCTTCAACATTTTTATTCTTTTTGGAGATTCTCTTCCTTCCTGGAGGAGAGGAGATTATAGCCAGGAGATATTTGATTGGTGGAGAGGTGTAGGAGATGACCAGTCTGAGCCCATGGGAGGGGTCAAGTGTGTCATCAATGTGGATCCCTTCATGTCCACAAGAGATCTTAAGTCCAGTCCTCCTTGAATTCCATTGACTCGTATCTATCGGCAGTTCAGATTCTTATGTAGAGGTAACATAAAATAAACTTGTACTCATTTCAACTTAACCCTGGCTCCTGATTTCCTGCATCTGTCAGTAGGATCAAAAAGAAGATGCATGAATTTAAAACATAACAAGAAAAGGTAATTTTTACTTTCTAAAATGCCAACTGCCTATTTTGAATCTATTTTAGAGTATTATTTGTTCATTGGTATTTTATAAATATATGCATTTCTGACAGTCCATGAGAATGATGCTAGATAACCATCTGAGACTGGAAATTTGCCTTCATTTATTAAACTAGGTATGGGTGGGAGGGAGAGATGTTGCTTTTAGAATTATTTGATCACTTATCTTAAATATGCTACATATTATTTTATGAGCACGTGTAAAATAATTGTCCTAAAGATTCAAGTGTTGCTATTCAATATACAAGTGAAGAGAAAAGGAATGCTTTTAGATATGACTTAATCTTGAACTGTAAGGTCTCACACTCAAAGTAATAAACTTTGTGCCAAATCATGCAAGAAAGCTCTTAGAGACCTCAAGAATACAGAACAAATGTAAACTAAAACAATTCAAACAGATATTTACCTAATGTTTTAGGCAGGTGCCTATTTGCTAAGGATTTTTGAGAAAGCTGTTACGAATTTGTGTCTTTTAAATGTAGAACTTGGACTAAAACAGCGGGTATAGGGAGGGAAATGTCTTGGCACAGAGATATAGTCCAAAGCCAACACTAGGTTTAATTGCATATTTTCAATCAAAAGGATTGGTTGCTGCTTAGTTAGTTTCTTGGAGAGGTTTTTCATGAGCCAGATGACTCATTTGAAACAGATTGTATCCAAGAGAAATGTCAAACTCCTTGTTCAGTGGCAGGAAACATGACCAGACGTCCATAAGGAAACCCCCCATTCCTCCT